TTTTCTCTTTATTGAGAAGTGACGAGCTTATGATTGAATGCACTGTCCATGTCATATATTCATATGATATATATATATTTGTATATAATAAATAATACATAGTCAAATATACATACAATGTATATATTCATTTTCNGTCACGCAAATATTTGACAGCATAAAGTCTAAGAATTAATGCGTTTGCATTCTAGCAGGCATTTATTTAAAGGGGACCGATCATGCAAAATGCACTTTTGATGTATTTTATACATAAATATGTGTCCCCGGTGTGTCAGGGAACTCACGCAGCGTCAGAAAATAAAACCCTCTCTCTTTTCCTCTGTATCCAAATCTCTAAAAACGGGGGTACAACGGAGCTGATCCAGATTTGTGGCCGATATGACGTCATATCGGCGGCGGACACACAGCACTATTAGAAACGTTGCTATCAGAAACAATGCCCGACTGTTTTGGACGTAATATGGTCGATGTTTACATTAGCATCGTTAACACTCAAAGCTAACCTGTACTGGAGAGAGCATGTGTGTGAAGAAGCAGGAAATAAAAAGGAACTGACCTTGTGGTATAACCGGCAAGAGAGAAAGCCTTTGAGCTTGTCGTAGCAACTTAAAACTGCGGTATTAGAGTAAAAGATGAGTTAGGCAAATATGCAAAGGAACACAATATCGATATAAAGTATTTTGAGATCTTCTTTTAATGCTTGCAAGCAGACACCTCTGTTATCACACTTACATTGATATACCATTTCCAGGATGCAGTAGTTATATTTCATTAGGATTACACTTTATTAAGCTTTAGTACCATAATTGCCATAACAAGCTCCATACTGTTTCAGAAATAATCCTTGATAATCCATGATATGGCGTTTCATCACAGCAGCATTTATTTTAGAGAGTATCTGCTGGGTCCCGCATGAGCAGGCATAAGCTCCGTCCCCTCTTTTTTTATCATTTCAATTTTTTTTTAAGCTTTATACATAAAATCAGCACTTTTGAAACAGGAAGTTAAATAGGGGGTTATGAGGCATGTCTAGAATGGGTGATCTGTTTGGTATTTTGAGCAAAACACTACATATACATGTTTTTTATATATATTTATATGTCTGAGACCTATGTTATTGCCTAAAAATAGCATGATAGGTGACCTTTAAGAAAATCTGGTTAGGATGTGATGATTGGAAATAAAATAGATGAGTAATTCTAGAGGAATAGTTGTTGTTTTTGGGAAAATATGCCCATCCAAAATACATATTTAGGTGTTTATTTTACTAACTTTCTTTTTGTAACCTGAAGTCTGTCTTTACAAAGGGCTTTTTTCATATATAATTTAAAGCTTGATTTATTTTTAATATTTTGTTCCAAAAAAACATGATGAAAACAGAATGGTCTATGGCTGTTGATAGTACTTTCTGATTCATGGACTGATACAAAAAGGTATCAAGGATTCCCTGTGAAAAATATTTGTCGGTCATATTTAAACAGCATATGAACCTGGCTTTATAAAATGTTTAGAGGGAATTTGGGGTTTTAGCCTTTGCAGACTATGCAAAACAAACCTATTTAACACTACTGGAAAGGGAACATTTCTAAAAACATTATAGCAGCCATTTAGTCAGACATGACATTTCAGAAAACTTTAAAACCAAAACATAGTCTTAATGTAAGTAATTAACCTCAGGAAGTTTAATGGTTATATGTATTACTTTTTTTTTCTTTTTTAACCAAATTCACCTGTAGTATTTCCCCTTTAAGTCGAGAAACAGAAAAACAGCTGGCCTGGATTTAGGGTTCTCATGGGGCAAGGGAATCAGGACCTAAATGCAGAAATAAAGGGTATAAAAGTATAAACAAAAGGCAAACTTAAATTAAATCAAAGATGTTTCAGATCAAATAAACTGGTGGGGCAAACAAGGGAAATGCAGAATAATACAGACACGAAACCAGGAACCAAATCAAGGAAATAATGACGACAATCTGACAGAGAACAGGGAAGATAGGCCTAAATATACACAATAATAATCACCAAGACAAGACACAGCTGGGGCGGGGAAGTGAAACACAGGAGGTTCATCTCAATATCCCACCTCGACTCCTCTCTCCCCTCTACTTTGCGGCTGTTTCTCAATCTCAAGGATACTGGCTTCCAAGCCAATATTTCAAGGATGCTACGACATCAAGTGGCGCAGCAGGACCGTTCCGATGTCCAGCATACTTGGAATTCCACCGAGGCCGTGTCCTTGGTTTAGGGGAAATTTCGAGGATTCACAAGTGTATCCTCCGCGGTCTTAAAATCCCCACAATGCTTTGCGCACGGACCAATTTCCAAAATATTTGGCGGAAAATGTAAGGCGGGGGCCTCTCATACGACGCACACCTGCACACTTGCTAGCCTATTCCATTCTTCGTTCTCCGAATGTAAGGAAGGATTCTTGCCTAGCCTCTGAAAGACCTGACTCGGAGGGACATGTCCTACCAAGGAAGCATCCTCGACATTAAGAAACACCCACAGGGGCAACAAGTGAACATAATCAGAAACAGGCTAGAAAACACAGGAAGTAAAACAGGGCAAGACACAACGAGAAAAAACGTATTTCAAAATAAAACATGTAACACAAATTCATAAAGGGTGTATAATCCACTTACAAGAACCTCTTAAACTACGAGTATGGTGTACAGCAGGGGTAGGCAAGTAAGTTTGGCCGTGGGCCAATTTTTTTCTGAGCCACAAGATGGTGGGCCAGAACATAATCAAAGCCTAATTCAAGGAATTTATTTTGGTAAGAGGGCGCAGCGCCCCTTTTCCCCGGTTCAGAAAAAACTCTGCTATCGCTGATAACCCTCCCCATCAACACTCTGATGCGCAGTCAGATCCGCTGATTGGTTCACTGAACATATAGGCGCCCAATCCAGAGCCTCTGGCTAGACCCACCCAAAGGGAGGCTCGTCCTCTCTTGCCCCATTTCAGTCCCATGTTAAAAGCCAGGGCTATTATCTGTATTTTAACAGACTTATCTTTTAAATTGAGGTGTATTTATTGTTCTCTTCTAAGTTTATTTTTCTCTGAAATTTTAGGGAGGATGGTCCTCCCTTTCCTCAATGGACNGAGAGTGGCACACTTGTTAGCCTGTTCCATTCTTCTTCGTTTTCCGAAGCCGTGGCTTGGAAGCATACTTGCTTCGTTTCTGAAGGAAGTGACTTGGAAGTACGCGACTACCAAGCCTGCATCCTCGAGATTGAGAAACGGCCACAGTGTGCTTTTAAAGAAGAACACCGGCAGACGGGTTGCTGTTTTTACTTATGCACAAGAAGAATCAATAAACACATTCATATAACACTACCCAAAAATGGTTAAGCTGCTATTATATTTTGCACGATTCTTTGTTCTGGTGTGTGTAGTCTTCAAAAAATCTTAATATAATTAAACATTAAAAAGATTCTGTTTAATGCATAGGAGTCATAAACATGGTGAATAATTATTTTTAACAAGATGCATTCATTTAGTTATGGCTCTTCTATATTTATTCTTACTTCTTCTGCATACATAAGTATCAATTTTCTCATCTTTTATTTCAGTTTGTCGAAATTAAAAACAAACATACTCGACATGGCTTATCTTTTCTGTAACCTTAAACTAATCATGATAATCACTAACCTAATACAGGTCAGTGAGAGAATGTCAGTTTTTACAGTCTTCTCAATGTTGACACCCTCAGTTCATCATTCTGTTCAATCTTTGTATAGTATGAGGTTTATCTTTCTAAGTAGAATAGATGTTTTAGAATGGTGGATAGGATGAAAATAAACAACACCCACCCCTCTGCTTCGTTACCACACAGATGTCTTTCAGCAACATTCTTTAACCTAAATTCCTCCGGGGCTAAAGTGTTTGGACAGCAGGACAACACAGGTTTTAAACTCCAGACACTTAAAAAGTAAATACCTGCAACCCCCATTAATAACATCACATTTTTGCAAACAGTTTGGACTCTAGGTTATTTGAACTGAACCTTCTTGACAGGGTGTTATGGTTAGATTTAGCTTAAACAGTGCAACAATGGAGCCTTCAATTTAAATATTTGCTTATTGCATCTGGAAGACTTTAAAGAGAAACTGCGGCTCAAACAAATGAGAATGCTACGCCCAGTAAATGTTCTTCCTTTAGAGGATGTTTATTTTGAGAATGTATATCATGCGTCCATAAATATGAACTGGCATGGGCCTTTTGTCTAATTTTACTCTCTTATTTAATTGTTTAGTCATTTTGAAAGTATAATACTAAAACCAATTGGAATCCATCCTGCACAATCCTCAATATTCACAAATGTTTCCCCTTTCCAGTTACACTATATCTAAGAAATCAATGATCATTCGCTGTCACATTGCACAACAAAACAAACAGATTTGAATTTGTTACAACTACTGATGTTCTTTATCTTTGGAGATTCGGCACAGCTGACATCTTTGTTCCCCTACAGTAAATAGCTTTCTTTCTACTTTCTCTACTCTTTGACTAACATAACTACCTGTTCTATATCTGTGTTGTTTGCTCTAACACAGCATTACCTGGATTGTTTTTAAATGTTCCTGTAAACTGGTATAGTGATCATTCGGCCATTTGTAGCCAACTGTTGTAAAGACAAACCTCTATCAATATTTCAGCAAACCAGTGCATCAACATTCTTTCCACACAGTCTTATTTTTTAACCAAACCTTATTTAAAGCAGACGCTGCGTCTATTTCAATTCAGCTGTAAGTGACAATACATGTTTTTTGGTTTTTATATTATGTAAATCCTAAGCAAATTCTGCATGAGACAACTTGACGTCATCAAACATCTGAGCTAAATGTTATCCTAGAGTATGTTGTGCTTTTCATTTACTGTTAGCTAGAGCCCTCTAGTGTTCACTGTTGACATGTACCATACTTTAATGGTGAAATAAAGATGCTGAAAATCAAAATCAGTCAATCAATACTTTGTTTTATAAAGAGTCATTCATCATATTAATAATCATCATGAAATGGGTACTCTGGATGGTCGCTCCACCTGTGTTGAAACAACGAAAAAGTTGCTTTCCGAGCATAATGATGTGGACTTGTTTGTCCTTTTGAAAACAGTATTTAGACAGAAAAACACAATATATAATATAGTTAGAGTTTTAGGTTCAACTCGCACTTAAATATATACTTCTTTTAAAGCTTATACTTACATCAGCAGCTCCACAAAGCGGATATTTTTGTTCAGCGCCTCAATGGCTTTCATTTCCTCCGCAGTGAGTGAAAAGTCAAATATCTAGAACAATAAATGATTTTATTTACTGAAATAATATAAATACATTTAAGATTACTATCTAAAATAAATATAATAACTTGTTGTGCTGACAAAAACGAATAAATATGTATATATGAAAAGGTATTTATGTAAACCCACCTGGAAGTTGTGTTTGATCCTCTCGGGGCTGAAGCTCTTGGGGATCACGACCACTCCTCTCTGGGCGTTGAAGCGCAGAGCCACCTGAGCCGTGCTCTTCTTGTATTTTTTCCCAATGGATACAAGCAGCTCGTCCTCCAGCAGAGGAGGACATTTCACATTCACCCTAAACCAGAGAAGGAGGAAAATACAAAAGCAGGAGAGAGTACTTTATCAAAGTGTTTAGGTGTCGCATCGCTGTGTTAATGGTTTGGTGACAGAAATAATATTGTTGGTTTAAACGATGCTGACGCGTGGCAGAGATGTTTTGTTCTATATTAAAGGTGACCTATCGTGCAAAATGCACTTTTGTACGTCTTTTATAAATGAATATGTGTCCCCGGTGTTCCAGGGAACTCACCAAGTGTCAGAAAACACAACCCTCTCTATTTTCCTCCATACCCAAATCTCTTAAAAAGGGGCTGCAAGACAGACTGATCCAGATTTGAACATTTCTATGACGTCACAGAAGTGGCGCTACGGCTATTGGGCCAACTCCACCAATCAGGAGGAGACAGCCACGGACATTGCCGTTGGAAAGCGCTGGAGACGCTGTAGTACATATGCCAGGCCTGTAGATGGTGCTGTTCTCACAGAATCAGCCCATGCAAAGACAGTGTTAAATTGAGAGAAATGAGGAATGGCTAAAATGCATAATCTGTTTGGTATTTTGAAAAATAAAAAGTATAAATATGCCTTATATAGGTATGGTCCTGCACTATATTATTCAAATATAGCATGATAGGTCCACTTTAACATTTTAACATTTTACGATTGTGTTGTTGAACTCAAAGGTTATCCATATATGAATACAGTACCAGAAGGAACAACACATGACAAAACACCAGCTTTCAGTGAAAAGTGCATATCTCTTACCAGGAGGCATCTCTGGAGGAGCCAATTGGGCAGTAGCCAACAATCACTATGTCATTCTGACGACAGTACTCCAGAAGCTTGGGCTGTGTGAAATATGGATGGCATTCAACCTACAGGTAAGTGAGAAGAAAATATATAATTTAGGAAGAAAACTGTTACATTACTTCAGCACCCTTTGCGCTACAAGCCAGAATAATAGTGGGCATAGAGGGGAAATATTAACTCATTTTAACACCATAAAGCTAAAGAAATATGAATTATGATATAGTCTTTGACTATTGTGACAAGATCTAGGTTTGTTGAGTTCAAAACAAACCATACAAGTAACCCAAAGAAAACACACAGCTCTACCAGCTACTTACACTTGGTCCAATGTGGGATCTTTCGCATATATCTAAAATATATATATCTTCCCTCTTGCTTATGGTCTTTAATACATACTGATTTACTACTGTAATACTATGCTTTCTGTGATGTCAGTGGGGGTCACCTGGTTTGATACAGGTCTGTGTTTGAGGCCAGGTTTGTTGAGCAGCAGCTCCAGCTGTCTGCGGTTGAAGTTGGAGACTCCCAGAGATTTCACCAGCCCTGCGTCTTTGCAAGCCTCTAAAGCCTGTTGAGGAGAAAAAGATTTACATCCTCTGATTGATAGTGATTATCTTCACAGACGTACTGAGAGAGTTGAGTCGCATATGAAGCACAGCTGAGCAGAAAAAACAGATCTTTGAATGAATCTTGGCTTGTCATGAAACTACCATATCCAGACATTTCAATGCAGGATGTTAAAGCATTTTAGAAATTGGGAATTGAATGGAACTCACCTCCCATGTTGCACAGAGGTCTGTGTGGTGGTAGATGTGTTTTCCATCCCGGTCTTCTGGATAGAACTCTTTTCCAGGCTAATATTTAAGCAAAATTCATTATTTTGCATTAACACACAATTCATAAATAATAGTGCTTTGGTCTATATTTGTGCATATTCGGTACAATGTTGGAGTGTGGTGGTTGGCTTCAGCTTTGGTTAAGTTCACATCTCAACACATATCTGATTTATACCAACTATAAACTGGGCCAGATAGTTTGAGTTCATGAGCAAACATACTCGACATGGCTGTCTTATCTTTTCTGTAACCTTAAACTAACCATGAGCCACATTTGACACGTGTTATGCAGCTACAATGCATAAATATAACAGTTTGATACAATTGTGTCGGTATCTTATCTAGTGCATATAACTAAAAATAAACATTAGATTGTGCATGCAGCTGTGTGTGTTGCCATACTTTCTAGATCTATTATCTTTTATTTCAAATACTTTTACAATATTATCTTCTTCAAACCTGACAGAGTAAATCAGAGCATTATCTAAACTAAACACTACCAGTGTGACTACCTTAGGTCAATGTTCAGAAACTAAAGGGCTGGTTGTTAAAAGAACTGAGATCAAATGGAGTACCTTGAAGGCCATAGGGAGTTCAACAATGTAGAGATCCACATAGTCTAGTTTTAAGGCTTTCAGTGTCCTCTCCAAAGCTGGTCTCACCAACTCTGGTGGATGAAATGTATTCCAGAGCTGAGAAAAGTAACATGGAACTAGTTATACAAGATTGAAATATAGTTAACACCACTGAAGAATGAAGAATGACACATCTTATTACCTTCCCGCAGTAAAATATGTCCTTTCTTTGAACGGTTCCATCAGCAATCTTCTCTCTAATGGCTTGACCAACTTCATGCTCATTGAAATACACCAATGCTCCATCGAAGTGCCTGTAACCCACGTCTATGGCCAGCTTGACACACTCAAGTGCTGTGCCTCTGGGTGTCTATTGTAAATCAAAATAAAATGAATACATTATTTGACCCGACTCATTATTCGATTGACTCGCGCTGCACTTTGTGTTGACATTTCTCTGTTAAACATGATAGAGAGTCCTTTTGGTGAAGCTGTCATTAGTAAAACAGATCTAAAAACACGCATATCAAATCCTTCTTACCGTTCGAGGGTCTCCATAGGTGCCCAATCCCAGCAGTGGGATATGGTTCCCGTCACTGAGAGGGACACTGTGGCGTTCTGCTGTCAGATCCATGTGTGTGGATACACTGTGCTGTTATCTAGCCTGCCTGGACCATGGATGTATACCAAGTTATTTATTTATTAAAGAGCATGAACTTTGAACCCTGACGTTTTACTTATGTTATTAACTTCATACTGAGAGGTTTTGCCGAGTCAAACCCAAACAACTCTATGCAAATACGACTATAATGTTGGACTTAATTCAAACATTTTAACCCCTGCTATAATGTAAATGTTATCCAGCTTTTTAACAAACGCTTGCTGTAATTGTTTCTATGGCTGTTTGTGGTTATTATCGGGGTTCAAAACATATAAAGGAGTATACAAAAAATAACATTAAAGAACAAAAGATAAATCAGTTATATTAACACACTGATTGATGATCAGAGGGGTTACGATGCAGGTAAGTGCAGCAGTATTGCATAACACATTTAAAAAAACATACCCAATCATTCATAGCGGTGTGTGCTGCAATTACAATGCTAATATACAAACAAATGTAATTTAAGGATTTCTTGTGTTTACTTTCCCCAAGACTGCTCATATAGACTATAAGCATGGCTGTATTATTAATCAACCTTAAAGAATGGAAACGTTTAAAATTCTTTATTTTCTGAACACATGAACATTTCAGTAGTGCAGTAAAGGTCCTACCGATATATCTACATGTTTGGTTTTAAGGTCAGATGGATGAGGTGCCAAAAGTACCACAATCCGTGTATCTACCGTCCATTTGTTTTTCTTTATTAAACAAGTAAACGGAAGAGCGTCTGAGAGGCCTTTTTGCTTTTTGCTTTTGACCTTACTAAATGGTCTAATGGTCATTGGAGCGAGGGGCGGGGCCAAACTCACGGAAGTGATTTCAAAACAAAAGCACTCGTTTGCTAAAATCACACTTGAATCACTACAGTATCTGGAACGGTGATTATTATAAACAAGGGGAATTTAGCGATCACAACGAAAACNCTTTTGACCTTACTAAATGGTCAAATGGTCCTTGGAGCGAGGGGCGGGGTGAAACTCACGGAAGTGATTTCAAAACAAAAGCACTAGTTTGCTTGGAACGGTGATAATATTATAAACGAGGTGAATTTAGCGAAAACAGCCAAGACACATATTGAGCCCAGAAATTGAATGTTATTACGGGCTGTAAATATAATAAGCCTATGTCTAAAATGGACAACATTGTTAGGAGATTTAAACTATGCAGCGATTCTGCACTGCGGTCGACTCAGCCGTCTCTCGAGTTAGTTATTATTTTTTCTGCCATTAGTTCTTCTTGAGATTGACACTGTTGGACTCAGTACGAGTGAAACAACTCCCACAAGTAGCCTACTATGAAGTACTTTTACTGTGTACTTTTTGAGTAATCCTCTGTCAATGTCCCCTCGAGTACAAGAATGCATGTTTCTTTGCTATTTTGAATAAGCATTAAAAAACCTTTCTTCATGAGACTGATGTTGTTGGACAGAGTATTTTAAGAGGATATGATAGACATGATATCAGCAATACTTCCAGTCAGTACTCCAGCAGCAGCATTTTTAATCCTTGGAAAGTATTTAGAGACTGGCCTGGATAGCTGGTCACAACTATCCTTCAGCAAAGTGACAAACCCTTGTCACTCTTGTTGGCCTCTTATGACAATGCTGTCTTTTAAATAGGATTATTTCTCTGCCGCTAGTTCATTCCTCTCAGATTCTTCCATAAGTCCCTGTCATTGCATGTCAGTCAATAGAGCTTCGACAAATGTGTCCAATTCAACTAAATGTTTTTTTTGAGTGAAGGTCAGAGCCAAATTATAGATTGCAAACAATCTATAATTTGGCTCTGACCTTCACTCAAAAAAAACATTTAGTTGAATTGGACACATTTGTCGAAGCTCTATTGACTGACATGCAATGACAGGGACTNATACACTACTATAATTACCAATTTTGGATCATAATATAGAAAGTTCAGCCGAATTAGTGTGATACTGCAAGCGAGAAGGTTATTGCTGTGAAAAAGAAAAATGTAAAATGCTTGTTTAATGGCTGATATTATTTTATGATCCACATCGACGTTTTTCAGTTTTGGCGGAGCAGTCTTGCCTGTGTGTGTCCAGAAGTCTTTTCTCATTCAGGTGCTCTTAATAAATTGACAGATATTAATATTTAATGCAGCCGAAACCTTTTACAATGCGTTATGATGACTGTTCAGGGAAGAAAAAGCAAGCACACTGGCCCTCTAAAGTATATTTTGTATTTTTTTAAAAAACGTTTTTTCATTTTCACATCGCATAAGACCATGTTCCAACGTTGCATTGCGGCTAAACCATCGAATCAAGAGCTGAGGGAACCTTGCCTACGTCTGTTTTCCGGTATGCTTTTATGACGGATGATTTTGTATACACGCCATTCCTTCACATTTAAAATTTTACCAATCTGCGAACATTTTTTAAAAAAGTTATTTCGTTTGAGGCCTTCGTAAAAATGTTTTTAAATATTAACTTCGTTCTAGTTGAAGAGTTTGTTAAATTAGACACATTGAACCGAAGCTTGCTTGCCCTGGCCAAGTGCAATCGGCACAAACATCTTCGTCCGTTAATTCCACATCCGAACACAGGATTAAACTTTGATTTAATAATTAATGGTACCCTTTTTGTTTCTGCTAAAGAGTGTAGACCAGCTGGGGCACAAAGGAAAATCGGCGAAATCGAGGTGTGACTATTAAAAAAAAATCGTTATATATGTAATATTGACAACTAAAACAACCGACGTCGGCGTAGCAATTTGCTTGGCATTTTCCGGTACTTTCCCTCACTTGGTTGGCCATGTTAACGAATACCGGTGTAACTGTCAATCAATCAATCAATCAATGTTTATTTATATAGCCCAATATCACAAATGTTACATTTGTCTCAGTGGACTTCATAGTTTGTACAGAATATCAGTATGACAATACGACACCCTCTGTCCTTAGACCCTCACATCGTACAAGGAAAAACTTCCAGAGAAAACCCACAGTTTAAAGGGAAAAATGGGAGAAACCTCAGGGAGAGCAACAGAGGAGGGATCCCTCTCCCAGGAACGGACAGACGTGCAATAGATGCCGTGTGTAAATTGAAAAGATAATACATTTGCAACATAGGTAGTCCAAATGTTTGGAAATGCATGTGTGTATAACGTTTGAAGGGACGAAATTGTGACATCTTCACGTCTCCCAGCATGGTAAATCATCACATGTTCACGTCTTGCCGTGATACCGGGTTGCGAATAGAATAAAAGAATAGAATTGGGAGGGACGAAACCCTCTTCAATGGTCACACATGCAGAGCACACAGCACACACAGTGACATTTGTTCTCTACTTTTAACCCATCCTAATAATAGGAGTCTAGTACTAGGAGCAGTGCGTGCTATCGCCAATTCAGGTTACCAAATAAAACAAACTCTTAGGCCTACATTGATTAAATGTACACATTTTAATATCATATTTTAAGTTTTTTTTTAAGACATCTTTTGACAAAATACTTTCACAAAAGCCTCTACTCACGCTTCAGGTAAAAGGTGAGGGAGAGCATAGTGATTTTGGGAGGCAAAAACACATCAGCTAACCTCCCACACATGACATGACAATGAACCTAAAGATAGGTGCGCGTGTTTACATTGCACTTGTATGATGTCAAAGTGCTTTGAATACTCCAGTGGGACAAAGAAAGAGAGAGAAATGGGAGAGGGAGAGGAATAGTTTGTGTTTGTACCCTTCACACAGAAGCCAAGAAGAGTAATTGCCTGCTCAACACCTCAGAGGTGAAAGGTTGGCTGGGAATGCGGGGGGTGGTAGCACAGACTGCTGTAATTAGCCTGCAAAAGGACAAATGAGTCTCCAAACAGATCACTGTCAGCATGTCAGATTTGAGACCACTGAAGACCTTACAAGATATTATGTCATGTGCCATGGAGGTCCTTATTAGGTGATAAGCCTCTCTTGAAATGAGGATGGAAATACTTTGGGGGAAAAAAAGTGCTACACATGGCTTCAACTACCAAATCTCATGTTTAGAGCGTTATTTCTTTTTTTGCAGAAGAAGTTAATAACTGACGCAGACAAGCAGCTATTTATTCATGCAGCTTTGAGAGGCAAAGCAGTTTAAAAATGTGTAATGCTCTTTTAACTCATTCCATAACCAATCTAGGTGGGGGCATCTGGGGGTAATTTGGCTAAAAGAAGAAATCATCCATAGACTTTGTGTAACACAGCTGCCCTCATGAGACATGACTGGGTTTGGTACATTGTAAGGATTTTATTAAAATTATGAAAACTACAAGCAACCTGTTTTCAATTGTCACAAAGCCCCGGATATAAGAGCTGCAATTCACCAACATTTCCGGATTAGACAGTTCTACCGTAGATGGCAAAGGAACATGCTGAACTGCACGTCTCCCGTTCGATTAGACTGGGTTTCACATAACAGAACAATCAGAACTACCCGCCCCCTTTCCTGCCACTGCTCTGCTGCCGGGCTTGGATGAGCCAGACTGGACTGAGATTGAACTGAGCCGAGGAATTCCAACATCTGGCTTGTATCTACAGCTTACGGTCATTTGGATGCAGTTGATGGTTTCCAGTAGATCCACAAAGACTGAATTGTTCAGGGTTTGGGCCTTGTCTGCCTTGGACTCGGAGGGCGTGGTGCTCTGGCGCCTGACTGCCACAGCTGGGCCTGTCTGTCAAATCCTCATGTGACACACAAGACTGAGTTATCCCCAGCGAGAGAATTGGGAGAGAGATTGGGGTGGTCACCACATGACTGGAGGGCCTTCGATGAAATGTGAGAACGTACTGTATTCAAGGCCTAAATCACCACATTAGTTTTGTAGAAAAGAGGCTTTGACGGGAAATTCCACTTTTCACAGCTTTTAATGCATTAGCTGAGGCATATGCGATCATTATGAACTCTTTCAGGGACTCAGAGATGACAAACACTTGCTTCAGTCAGCTAAACCACACTCTGGAGCCTCTCCTCCCCCAC